GCACGCACCGGGGCAACCGGCTCTTAAGGGCTCCAGCTATTCACACGCACCTGTAAATGATGTGATCAGTGGTTTCAGGAAAACACGCGCGACAAACAACGATGTGGCTTAATCTCCAGATAGCGTCACAAAATACTGGTGTTTGGTCCATGTGATTTTGAAACTTCACGGCTTGTCAAGGCCTTTCTTCATTATATACATCCGCATACGTTATACTATGCTGCGCTATCATATCACGTAACTTGGTCATCCCAGCTTTCGGATACCACTTTTAGTTTGTTCTTTGCGTACCACCAATCACAGTAGATTTGGTCTCGCAGTGTGCAAGGTTTGGCCGGAAGGTCCTGCTGGTGCACGAGTGGAGGCAGCCGAAAAGGAGCCTTCCAGTCAAAGGTTGCGCAGGATTGACACACCTTTTCCGCTAATTTGTCAAATTGGACAATTTGGAAACAGCAATGTTTTATTCAACGAAGCTCAAATGAATATCGATTCCTGCAATGTATATACATATGACAAGACAAGACCTTTGTTGCGCTGTTCGACAATGTTTGATGCCTCTAGATTTCGATGTTTCGACTCATCGAGGCGCTGCGGCCTCTTTCTGCTCAGGCGCGGCGTCTTTCTGGTAAAGCACCGATGTTTGTCATCCTTTCGGGGAGAGATACCTTACATTACCTTCCTGCATACATGGAAGTTGTTTTAATCCAACAGACTCCCTGTGTGAAAGTCGAACGTTTACTTTAAATTCCCTCCCAAGGGTTGCACATCAAGATTGGACAACATCAACCGCTTCGGTCAGAACCGGGTTTCCTGTGAATCCAGCAGTGGGGTCACAAAAGCTTTAGTGCATCACTCACACGACATGTGGAGATATTCGCAGCAGCTTTCAAGCGATCAAATTTATTCACCCAAGAATTTCAACTTACTGTAGTGAGAAATCCTCACGACAAGGGCCATGTGGAAACGAAGCGGATTTGCCGCATCTCAGGTTCTACCACGCCATAAGACCTTCCTGAGCTTCCTCAAAGGCGTGGGTTGCGGTCAAAAGTCACAGGTGTTTTTCGACCGAAGCCTCTTCGCTTGGCTTCGCTTTTCGCCACACCTTCACATGTTTTTCACAAACTGGACGGTCACTCGTCTTGATCCCAAACCCGGTATACCGGTATACCCGATCTTACGAGTCCAACGTTCTGCGGCCTGTTTTTCAGACAGGTCAGTCGATCCGATCCGAAATCCGGTACGTTACTAGGTAGGCGTTGGAGGCCGTCGCTCGTAGGGAGGAGGCCATCTCCTTTACAGAAGCGGTTTGGCAGGGAAGGGTTGAAGGCAACAGTCCACAGTTGAGGCATGCGGAGTCCACAAGTGTCTCAACTCCACATTGCTGTCATTCAGGGATCCGTTGGCGTTGGTAGCTGCTAACCCAAACTTTGAGTTTTCCGAAGAATGCAAAAGAAACCTGCCGGCCAGGTCTCTTTCAGCAACTGGGCGCCGAATCCTTTTAAGCATTCCTCCTGAGTTGACAACAAATGGTTGGACTAGGATGAACATACTAAGCAACTCAGCTAGACACTGAGATGTGATGATTCCTTGTTGATACTGTTGAGATTCGTTATCACACGGATCAAGGGTTGGAAGTGGTTCACATAGAGGTAACCGGATTTTGCTGGGCAGACATCAACGCAGCGTTCAGCTTACAAAGTAACATAGTCACAAGATCAGCATCGTTTACACGAGGAATCTAGAGTCTCCTTGTGCACAGATAGATGTGCGAGGTGCAAAGCTATTGAAGGCGCTCGCTTTTGTGGCTTTGGGTCTTTGGATTGAGATTCTTCCGTCTCCGGTCTAGTGGCATGTATGCCTTTGTATTCTTTCAGTGTAACTTTGTTTGCGTGTCAAGCAATAAGGACCACCGGCCATGGACAGGTCCATTTTAGACGAAACCTCCCACATTAACATGACACTGTTGCTAGTCAAGATAGCTTCCTTAGTATCCCAACAGTCCTCAAAAAGGTGATCCCTCCAAAGAATGCTTCATTGGCTTTTGGGCCTGCCTATCCCTATCCCTATCCCTTTTGGATGAATCGTTCCAGCACCGCACAGACTTGGTTGCCGGCTTTTGCCGACCTTGTTCTGAGATCACTGAGGCTGGAACCTTTGCAGCGGTTAAGGGCGACTCAAGCACATCAGATGGAATTCCTCACCACGGAGGCATTCTTGCATGGGATACTGAGATACTGTTTGTGATGTGTCTATTTTTCTCTTTATGAGGCCGTTTTGAATTTGTGATGTTTTACCTTGGAGCCATTGAAGCAATAGACACAAATGGTCCCCGAATAGATTGAGAAAAGGGAACTATTCACAGAACAATACTGTACTTGCATATGTGTATGCATATATCATGAAAGCCAGCCGGTAGGCACGGAGCGAACGAAGTGATTAAAGGGGGTGTGTGGGGGGGTGGTCGCGAGGTGGCCAATTCCGGAGAGGTGAACCCAGAGCCTGGTGGCGGAGAGCGAAAAAAGAGGCGGGCCACTTGGTAGTGAAAAATGAGTGTTTTGAGGGGTGTTATGATGCTGGTGATGTAATTGACGGCGAAGAGTGCATCATCAGCATCACGAGGGGCTCAGGAGGCCATGGAAAGAGAACAGACTGTAGTTGCGGCTAAGCTTAGCGTTGCTGTCAGGCTGAAGAGGGCACTCCCTATGCGGTGGGAGTTCACGTGAATTGGGGGGTTGTTGAGGGCAGGAGAGAGAAGAGAGTGCGTGATGCCATCTGTTGAGGGCCTGCGAGAGAACCGAACTGACGAGGGAGTTCACGTGGACTGGGGGGTTGGGGCAGGAGAGAGAAGAGATTGCAGCGGGCAAGCGTTGGAGGCGGAAGGTCCTGAATAGCTGGTGCCCTCTTTTATCCGTAACAAGGTCCAGTTGCTGGACTGAAAAGGGCACCCCACATCCATGGGGTGATGATGAACCGGGGTGAAGCGGCACTCCCTATGCGGTGGGAGTTCACGTGGATTGGGGGGTTCCTGACTTTGTTACGTCGACTCTATATGGATTTCAATCCGACTCGTGCCTCGTCGGGCCACTGTGCAGCACTGCGTCGCCCTGCACGGGCTGTGCAAACGTCCGAAAAATGGACACCCCAGATTCGACCATCGTCTTGAGTTTGTGCAATCTCCTTGCTGTACCAGTCACATGTGTCATCTTGTACAGTTATTGAACTATTTTGTACCTATGACATTCCACGTTGCATCCATACCACAGAGCTTAGCAGTTTGGCGCCCTCTGAAGTGGCCAGCTGCTGCTGGATCCAAGCTTGAATGAGAACAAGGGGATATCTGATCACGAAAGCCAGCTGTCAACTCACTTGAAACATAGACGAACACACCATACCCAACCTTCCCCAGACTACAAGGGTGCCATTTTCCCCTCCACAACGCCCCGACATCGAGACACTAAGGGTCACCCATCCGAAACCTCTGTATTCTACTCTCTATTTCCATTCTTTCTCGACTGACGGCCATATCCACTTCACCGCTTCCAGCTCCTCCTTGTCCATATATGTCCTCACGAAAGCCTATCGATAGCCTCGCCCACGACCGTCTCTGGTCACTCATTACCAACACGCAGCTGACGAACTCACATAAAATCTTTGAGGGTGCCCTTTTTCACCTCCAAAACACTCCTGAACCAGGACGAAAAAGGGCTCCCCCCTTTTTATTCTACCGTCTGTTTCTACCCCCCTATCGTACCTGCGGTGCCAACTTCGCCCCATAAACGTACTCTTTACATAATGTTAGCCTATCACTTCATCTTGCGCACTCAAGTCGCTCCAATATCAACCTCACCACTTCCGGCTACTCTTTGTCCACTCTACATACATACATACATGCATACATACATACATACATGCATACATACATACATACATACACACATCCTCACCTACCCTACCCATAGCCTCACACATGAACCCCCATTGCCGTCTTTGTTCACTGATTCGCAACACGCCGCCGGCAAGCGCGCCGCACTTGCTTAGGGGTGCCCTTTTTCACTTCCAAATTGCCCCTGAACCGGGATGAAAAAGGGCACCCCCCCGCAAACCTTCTACTTTCAATTTCTACCCCTATCAGTGTGGCGGTGATGTCAACTTCACCCCATGAAATTAATCTTTGCCCGATTTTACCCCATCACTTCCTCTTGCACGCCAAGTCTTTGCCCGGGCCTGCGCTGAGTAAGCCAGAGGCTGGCTTTCGTCCCCTCCCTTCTCAGGTATATATATAAATTTATACATATATATATTTACTGTAGATACATTCTGGGATCATTACATTAGCATAGTCCGGTTGGAGAGGTGCAGGTCAGTGGGTCAAGGAAGAAATAGCCATTCAGGTAGGGAAGAAGTCTCCCGATGCGCGTGAAATGACTTTAGTGACCGGCAATCACTGGACCAGTCACAAGTTATCCCAGAATTCTCATTTCAGGTGCAAGAATGACTGGACCACAACGTTCAACTTGGAGGACAAACCGCTGACGACCGCTGGCGTGGGCGGTGCCACCGCCCAAAAAGGATGTGGCTGTCATTGCGCCGAATGGCGACTTCGAGTATCACCGGTATTAGAAAAGGGATGAACAAAAAGCAGAGAAGGACCCCTTCAATGCTGGCCCTTTAAAGGGGCCCTTACCTGGTTGTCACAGGAATCATTGTAACTACTTGGCAACGTGAGGTTGTGAGACATGTCACCAGTCTCGTCAGGCGTCACGAATGCTTGGCCCAAGCAACGGCGAAGGTCGTTCAGGTAACTTGAGCTAAGATAATGTCCTCGAAACAGCCATACATGCACCCACACATGACATTCAGCCAGCCACTCATCCCAACACCACCAAATGCATTTGTGCACAGATGATGAGATTTATGCATTTGCAGACAAGTGCAGAGCATTGATGTCAAGTTCGCATAGAGGCACTCTTGGGAGTCCATGTGCATTTTTGTTGTGCGATCCGAATGGACGATTTGCAAAGGTGTTGGAAATCAAAGAGCACAGACTACAGACCTAGGGATAAAGACTACAGACCTCACTGCCATTTTGGAAGTGGAGTCTTGGCCCAGCCATGGCAGAGACGGACTCATGGCCGCAAGTCACGTCTTTGGGTTGGTCCCCTGAAAGGCCCAGAAGCGCTCGAAGTGTATTCGAAGTGTATGCATCAGGCAAAGCAATGGAAGGCTGCTTTCGGTTCGGAACTGGTTGCCATGCCCAAAGAGGAACTGGGTGGCAAGATGACAGACAATCCAAAGAGGTGCTTGGGATATGTCTTTTTGGAGGCTGTGCTTCTCACTATTTCAATCTATGGATCCTACAACGTGGAAGGAAAGACACTCTGCTTCCCAGGCCAACATGCTAGGGCCCGTTTTGATGCTGCCACATCAAAAACATCAAGGTGTTTTGGCACCGCTCGGACTTGAATCTTCATGATGAATCACCTCACTCCCGCTTGGTGTATCTCTCGTAAGATCAGACATGTTTTGTTCGCTTCAGCCAAGGATAGCGAGGAGGAAGAGGTGGAGGAACCAGACTTCATTCCGCCACCTCCTTCAGTTGTCAGAGACTTAGAAAGGACACGTAATCTTAAGTTTCCCTCAAAATCTAGGAACCAAATGAATAGTGGGAGCTCTTCTTCAAGGAAGCTCAAAGGTGGCGGGGAGCTTCCTTGAAGAAGCGTGAGCTATCCTGCGTCCTAGCTAGGAGCGTCCTACTTAATGGCTACTATAGCTACCTCTTCCTCATTGTCCCTTACTTAATTGAGTAGGTGTTTAGTGAGTTATGCAAGTAAGGGTGGGCTAAAAAAAAGAAACGTCCTGGCGGGTCTCGTTGCATGATCGTCTCAGGTCGCTCGCACTCAGAGGCAGAGCGTCTCTGCTGAGGCCTTTGGGGAATGGCCGCTTGGCATTTGATAAACCGCTTTCGGATTCTGCCCAACGTCCATCGAAACTAGTGACCTTGCTAAAGTCTGAGGAGGACGTCGTGTATATAAGCGTTAGAGTTCAAAGATGTGTGATCGAAAGATACCTCAATGTTCACGAAAGGTAGCCCTTCAGGGGATACCTTGAGTTTGTCTTGCGAAGCAAGTGTGGGCTCCTCTGGATCTAATAATTGATAGTTCAATCCCACCCCCCCCTTCGAACTGATTTTTCAATACAGACCCCCCGCCCCTTAGAATTGATTTTTCAATACAACCCGCCCCCCTCCCCCTGACCGCTTCATCCCGAAGTGGATCACCTCGACACCGCGATGGTTATTTGGTGTTGAGCACTCTAAGCTTGGGGCAGTGTTTGAGTGCATGAAGAGACATGACATGTTGTTTTTAGTGCTTCTTGTCGATGAGGATTATCATATATAGATCAAACTTTGGTCTTTTCCTCCATTCTCAAGTTGACGTTTGATTCGACTCCACCAACACCACACTGCATATTTTACATGCTTATTCTCCTCCCGCTGTCCTACCTTTCGTGTATCCCTCTTCTCAAGTTTTCGTCACTTAAAGTGAGGATACTGCCTGACGGACTTTCGCAAGGTTAAAGCAATGGGGTGTACTGAAACAAGTTCATCTCAGGGGAAGCCACACTTGCACTTGTCTCGCACTGTCTTGCCAAGGAACCAGCGGGTCATTTTTGAACCGCCAGTGTACCCGAAGACGTTGGGGCGCCAGAGCAGTTGAGACAAAAGAATGTGGCAAAGCCTTCGCGGAGGAGTTTTGAAGGAGTAAGGCGGCTTTGCCTGTTGTAGGTAGAGGGCCTGGGAAAAGCTCCATGCCATGATGTGGCAAGTTGGCATCAAAGCCGGTTACACGAGGCAAATTTGGCTCAGAAGATGGATGGTGTGCTCAATTCGCTTCGCAGTTGAATTTGTCGCGTAAAACATCCTTTTTCTGTGCCGACCAGAGTGTCAGCAGCGATGCCATACCAGCTCATTTCAAGCGAGGTTCAATAGAAGTAAACTGTTTGCAAGCGTCTAGATTGGGGTCATTAAAAGCCTATGCATGCTGCATACCATATCATTTGATCATCGTTTTCACCGAGGCCAGATCAGACGCAGGGGCTGCTAGAGGCAGGGATTCGATTGTGTGTCCATTGGCGTGGAAAGGAAGCAGGTCACTTTCAATAGGCAATTGAAGCATGCTCTTGTTCTATGTGTCCTTGTATTTTGGTTTATAATGTCTTTTTTTGGTGTGTGTGTGTTGGATATGCTGCGACCAAAGAAGTAGTATATTGCTAGGCTTCACACATTGTCATGCTTGCAGGTGACATCTCGTTCCTTTCTTTTTACCTCTTTGGAGGAGAAAGACTTGCGCGTTGGAAGCGCCCAGTGGTTCTGGGTGGGAATACAGAAAGAGCGCAGCTTCTAGTCGTTTGCAAAGAAGCTTGGTCTTGGAACCTTGTTACAAGCAAAGGGCATCGCTACTAGGAGCAAGGACGCTACTAGGAGCAACTAGCATCGCTACTAGGAGCAAGGACGCTACTAAGGGGCGCTCCTGGCCTTACTCCTAGGAACAAGAGCGCTACTAGGAGCAAAGGGCATGGCTAGTAGGGGCAAGGACGCTACTAGGGGATCCTGGCCTTACTACTAGTAACAAGAATGCTACGTTACTAGTAGCAAAGGGCATCGCTACTAGGAGCAAGGGCGCTACTAGGGGCGCTCCTGGCCTTACTCCTAGGAGCAAAAATGCTACAGGAGCAAAGAGTATCGCTACTAGGAACAAGGACGCTACTAGGGGCGCTCCTGGCCTTGCTCCTGGGAACAAGAACGCTACTAGGAGCAAAGAGTATCAAGCCTTGTTGAAAGCCCATCGGCCCAAAGACCCCCACCGGCTGAGGTGGTGATCGCGGCCATGAAGGGCCCGCTCCTGTTAGAGCCAGGTGGGATGAGGGCTGCTGGGCCGCTGGGCCACCCCGAAGATATGAAAAGCCCATGAAAGACCATTGATGCCTTTTTGGGTGACAGAAATCCACAGAAGTCCTTGCAGCCTTCATAAAGGTTGGAGCCCATCCGTTGTGCCCCACAGCAGTCCAAGTAGCGCAAGCCTGGCAGAGTTGCCGCCAGGAATGCGGGTGATCCAGGAAGGAGATACTGGAGATGCTCTTTATGTTGTGACGGACTGCGAGGGATCAGCAAGGGTCCAGAATTGAACAGAGAGCATTGGCTGTTAGCTGAACTATAGACATAGGAGAATAGGAGGCTGCATCCAGTATACAAGCATTGTTCATGTTCATAAATAGCAAGGTCTTCTTCCATAAAGACACGTATCAGGACAGGTTTTGCTATAGGGCACTGCTTGTTTTGCCAATACTTACATATATTTACCCGGTGAGATCATAAACGTTAACCAGTGATAGCTAGCCGCTGGCCAAAATTCCCTCCGGATCAAGGCTGCAACCTTACTGAAACTTCTCTCTCTCATTTGCAGGAGGGGCAGATGGATTGCATCAAGGTCATTGACGGGGCTGAACTCGTGCTTTGGCAATGACAGGAGTGGTGAAGTTTTCTTCGAACCTCGAACAATGAGGTAGTGAAGACCTGCACCAAGGGAGATCTTTTTGGTGAGCTGGTCGGGCACATAGCTGATCGAGCACGCTTCTTGCATTTGCATGACTACGACGGGTTTTGAGGATGGTCTACTGGGCGTCTTACGCATCACATGCTCGCAATCTTTCCTTTGTGACAGCTTAGGTGTTTGTTTCAGCATATCGTCGCTATGTCAGTAAGTTACAATCCTCTTCATGTCTGATATAAGGCCTTGCTCTACAACTGTCCGCGGGCTGCGAGTGTGCAGTGTCGCGAGGAGAGGGCGGCGCAACACAAACGGGCTCTGAGACACCAAGCGACGTTGGCAGATAAAGAACAGAATCAGGCATATCTATATATCATATATCTATATATGTAGTATGTAGTATGAACGAAATGTGCTTTTAGATAGAGTACAAGTGCTCCTCCATTGTCATCACGCCTGAAGAAAAATCGAGCTGACAACACAGCGGCTGTTGCGCATGTTTGACCGTCAGCGATGGTTCGGTTCTCGTTGCAGCAGGCATCTGTGCTTTGGGAGTTGGATCGAGCAACCTTCAATAATATCGTCATGGAAGGACTGGGCGAAGCCAACGAGACAAGTCTTGGAGAATGTCTTGGGGTGGGCGGTTGAATGTTTAGTTTGTTTCTTGAAGGGCGTTCAGAGTTTCAGTTTGATTGGGAGAGACCAGAAGGCTAAGCCTACACTATGGACATCATCGAATAGTCATAAAACAAACATCTTTTACATTTTGAATCAGATTATTTGATTATTTGTGTGACTTAAAGCACGCTGATTTTTTTGTAGCTGGCTGCATGCCTGGTGTACAGACCAGGGTGGCAGCAGACCTGTTTACAATTGTGATGGCTATATACATGTTGAGTGTCAACATTTGCACAACGCTATATCTGGAAAAGGCAACTAAACCAGCCAGACCCAATCTGTTCGCCACACATAGGGGTTCAACTTAAAGACTAAGTGCAATGTTCTTCTTTTAGGTTCCCGCAGCAGACAGGACAAAGTTTGTTTTTTCATCTCTGTTGCATTCTGAGAGTAGTAGGTAGGCAGAA